CGATATTTATGAGAAGTGGTGATGAACGATAGTCTGCATCATAGTGATGTTATTGTCATATTGTTTTGTAAATAAAAAACTTCATTATATAGACAATTTGACAATGATGATGTTATCTTATTCATAACCACCAATGAATAACGTAATTCATTTAAAAAAAAAAAAAAAAAAACTTACTAACAAGGTTGTTACCAGTATTTTCCTATTTCGAACTTTGGACCGAAATGTCAAATTAAGTTCTTTGATCAAAGAGTGTATCACCTTAATTAATATGACCAATTAATACACATGCAACCCAAAAAGGAAAAGAAAACAATACATTGCAACTCATATAGTGATTAGTGACTCGATTTCATCGTGTAGAAAGTCAATTTAAAAATAAATAAATAAATAAAGTATCCTAGTGTTGTATAGAAACACTTGTTTTTGGTTGATATTTCTCTAAACTAGACCTCTACAAGTAGCTAGATTGAGATCTAAAAATCTCTCTTAGACAAAAGATCATAAAAATTCAAAGTAATTAACAACTTTTGTATTTATCCTTTTAAGTCCTAATAAAATCAAAGAAGAAGAAAACAAAATTCAAAAGTCAATATTCCTTTGGAAGCATCTCTTCAATTTTTCAACCTAGTTTTGGTCCTTTCCCTACGTTGCCCCGTAACTAACGTTAACTTCTTTCTGGATGCTGGATCTCACTTCACATGCATAATTAAGACCGAATAAGTACGTTGAGTTTGAATCAATCCAAAATAGTAAGAGAGGAGAAATTGTGAGGTGAATTCAGATTTACTTTCAAATTATTCCAGGATTTTTCCATTGCGATCGCTATTTAACTTTGGTATTCCAAATTTCTAGTTGGTCATAATGTGCTAGTATAAATACATATGTTCTCGAGAGTTGAGCCTTGCAAAACTTCACCACTTTTTTCTCATTCTTTCCAATTATATATTTGAGTATTGAAAAACATAAATGCGTAAGCATACTAAGCTCTTTGTATTTCTTCTGATTATCATCGCCATGCCTTGTGATAAGAAAGGAAGCCTTCATGCAGAATTTACCATGAAAAATAAGCCAAGTAAGAATTAAACCAACTCGATCTTGCCCCACTCACTAAATCTTAAACTGCTCGAAGCCGAATATACTATATTATATTCTTGATCATTTGTCTCATATTAATCTTTTCATATGTTTTTTTCTAGATTATTCGAAGATGTTTCCGACCCTAGGATTGGTTTGCACATGTTGCGACCTCGGCCATGGAAGTGGTGATCAGTGCAGAGGCTCATGGGAGGGGACTTGCTCTAAGATCAAATGTCTGCCATGGAAACATCATTAAATATTTGAGCGAATTCAGTTGATTATTACATATAAACAAGGCAGCTATGCTTCTTAACTTTTCCCATTAATTTTATCATGCTTTATGATAACTTTGTAAGGATAAAATTGTGACCTTAAGTTGTCACACACGATAGTATATATGTGTGCGTTATTCAATAATATTAATGAATTATTACTGAAATTTATTCTGTTAAGAATTCAATTAAATAAATAAACACCATGTATAGCCAACAATGCTGTTAATGTGATGAACATTGTGCATAAGTAACAAGATGGTCTCGTCTCTAATTTAGACCTCAACTTAATCTATATTTTTCTAAGATTGCCTTGATGCCAATAACAAGGTCTTTGATCGATGAACTTGCTCACTATCGATCCATGAATACATTAACGCTTACAATTTTTTTTCATTTTTTAAGCTAATTTCATATGGTGGCATGCTATATATATAGTAGCTCATCGTAAAAACAAGAAAGTTCAGCAATAGTGGATATCCATATGCAATTCTTCACCTGGATTTGTTTCTACCTCAGCTTAGTCTCCAACTTATATATTTTGGCGTTGGTCCTATTAATTGCAAATATTGTCCATTCGACTATTTGGAAGTCATTTCAAAAAATAAAAATAAATAATAGAAAATTATACCCTAAATTTAAAAAGTCAAATATTGGCCCTTCCACTTGCTCTTTCAGATGGTGCCTGATTCATCATCTTGATATCAAAAATGCATTTCTTCATGATCATCTATTTGGAGATACTTGATTGTTTTCGCTAATTTATATAATGATTAAAATATGTAGACCCCATTGCATAATTTTAGGAACTCAAAAAATTTGTTTTCTCACTTGGGTCCACTCAAAATTATATACTTCTTTATTCATTTTCTGTGTCGTGACTCATTGTTTTATTTTCTAGTTTCTATATATGACATATGGCCGTTTGATTGCAAAGATGAAATTTGAGTGAAAAGAAAACAAATTTCAGGTAACTGAATTGCTTAGAAATTATTTTCTTGACAATTGTCAATTAATAGTGTTTGATTTGTATATTTTTTCACCTGAAAAATGTTGAAATTAAAGTGTCTTTTGGTGTTCGTTGGCTTTGTTTTCATGAAAATTATCAATTTAAGGGATATCCACTTCTACAATTATTCCTAAAATTTGTTTTCATTGAAAAAAAAATAAAAAAAAATAAAAAAAATATATATCCAAAATCATCTATATTTTGGTGTTCGTTTGACTCTGTTTTACATAGAAATTGTTAATACAAGGGTTATCCTCTTTTACAATTGTTCTTAGAATTTATTCCCATTGCCAAACAAAAAAAAATTGCCTAGAAAACAAAATGACACCAAAACCATAAGAATTTCAATTCCACCAAAACAAGGAAAAACAGGTCACGTGCCCTAAACCCAGAAAATGAATTGCCAAGAACATATTGGTCATTAAACAAGCCATTAGTTGGAAAATGTGGAATATTTTCCATCTTCCATGGAATTGAAGTGCTATCAAACATAATAGTCTATTTTAAATATAAATTTATAAATAGTTTATTAAATTCCACAAATTTTGTATGATAATATTATTCCTTTTTATAAATTATTTATAAATTTATTAGCTTATTAATACAAAGAAATTCCATTCAACTGGTTCAAAAATTATTGTGGATCTCTCGTAACAAAGAAACGAGTTGTAATTAGTGGGTCTCAGTGTCACGTAGACTCCCAGTGCTAATTAGATAGCATTATTCATAATAAAATACTAAATAAAAGAACCTAATGTGATTATTGGTTCTTTAAGATGGTTGGAATTGTAACAAACTACATGGGACCGTGGAACATTTAAGCATAGCCATTATTCCAAATCGAAGTTCATTGCTCCCCAGTCAATGATATTTTGATTTCAACACGACCGATCTCCCGTTTGTTCCACATGCCAAATCGTATCAAATATTCTCTCTCCCTCTCAATTACTTATTCGTTGAGGAAATACCCTACGGAAAGGGTCTCTCTTTAGATATAGATATAAAGGAATCTTTAAAAGAAATATACGGAAGAACAAAACCAATATCTTCTTCATAGGCATAGCATGCACGGTATCTTCTCCAATATCCAAAGAGAAAGAATGGAACATTAATTGAGCCTAACTGTTGGAAGTTTGAACAAAAAAAAATATTATGTCCTTATCCGAATAAACCAAGTTGTGTCTGTGAGAGAGAGAGACCCACAAGAAGATAATTCTGGATAACTGGATAAGTTCCATTCTCTATGTATCCCATTGTTTGAGCCCCATTTTTAATTAAAAAATGTGTTCTATATTAGTGATTTTTCTTGTGGTTAAAAAGTAAAAAAATTTCGAGTTTACACGAAATTTAAGTTATTGGTGGAATGTATTGTTAAAAATAAGTTAATGAAAAAAAATGAGTTTTTGGATAATGAGACTTGAACAAAAACTATATAAATATTGTCTATATGTATCATATTTTTCTGCACAGATAATTAGGTCAAACAACTTGATGAAGCCAAAATAAATTGATAACCCTACCTTACAAAGCTTGAAGGAGCCACCTTAACTAATTAGATATATTGGACATAAATTATTTTCTCACGTTTAAACATAGTATTTATATTTTATATTATACTACATAGACACAGCAAGGGGTGGGTGAGAGATTTTTTTATCACGCGTGAGATTTCTGACAAAAATCTGTGAAACAGTTTTCTGTACACACAGTATTTTTGCATTAGAACCTATCACAACATGGGTCCCAAATGTGAGATTTCTGACAAAAATCTGTGAAATAGTTTTCGGTACATTTTTACATTAATATTTACGAAGTGCACCAGCTTGAAAGACGAGTTGAAAATTGTGGATGGGGGTAGGTTTTAACTGAGGGACATTGGACATGGACGAACACAATCTTTACCGGGAGCTGGGCCTATAAATAGCAGCGACCATTTCATTTCTTTGCACACAAACAACTTCACGTGCTCCACCTCTCTCTTATTCACTTTGTGTTTTCTCGGAATCCTATCTATCTCATTTCAAGATTTAGGTTTGTGTGTCGGTTAAGGAAAAGTTATCTAAATCTAATCGAAAGCAGTTTTATTCTTTGGTTGATAAAGAAAGTATTTTATGGAGAAGGCAAAGCAAGTTAGTGGTTCATCTTCGTCCATTACCATGGATGATCTTTTTGGTCCCCGAATCTCTTCAAAATCTTCATCCTCAACCACTACTCTCTTTGAGTCTATTTTTGGACCACCTCCTCCCACGGTATTTTTTTTTTTAATTTCTTTCTTAATTTGTTGCATATTTTCTTTAATAATTCCCTAATAAGCCCCTGTTTGTTTCTCATTATTAACTCATTAAAATAAAAAATATGATCGCTATACATCACATCAAGCCACAATATTTGACTTTCTATCTCTTGTGTGGAACCCGTAACGACTATATTTTTATTCTTATTTTTACATTAATGTGTACCAAACAGAGCCCAAGTAAATATTGAAAACTCGAATACATCATTTATTTTTGTTCCTCTAATATATTGGAGTTCGGAACACATAATTTCCTAATAAAAGGTCAGCTTTGACCTACCTAAAGTCTGGCCTAAAATGCAGCTATTGAGCCTTATATTTTCAAGAATAATTCTATTCAAACAGGGGCT